ATTTAGCTGCATTTATTTGACAGTGGCAGCCCTTTGCCAAGTTCAGTTTTGTTAAAGGATCCAAATTCAGATTTGACTCAATCTCTCTCCACTGTCTGGGGATTGAGGGAAACCCACTTTATGACTGCAGTCCCAAAATTAAGTTATACTTAAAATCTGTAATGCAAGAGATACTGGAATATTTCATTGAAACCTCCAAGCGTGAGTGTTGAAGAGTCAGCCTGTCATCTGAAAGATTTAAAAATTTGGTAGTAAATGAACAGCAGTGCAAACAGGTAGAAGAAAGGTGCTTTTTCATTTTTAGAAGCTCCATCTCGATCTGATGGTCAGATCTTCGCGCATGTAAGTAGTAAGAAAACCAGCAAGTGGTAGGTGCCTAAATACCTTGACAGAGTTGGACACGATTTGGTCAAGCACTGGAGCCGACTGCCCACAGGTTGTGGAGTCTCCATCCTCGGAGATAACTCAAACCTCAGCTGGACTCTGGGCATTGGAGGTTGACCTGGCAGCCTCTCGAGGCCCTTCCAACATACACACACGCCTGCAATCCCCATGGTGGTCATATGTTGTGTAGTGGCCGTTCACCCTGTGCGTGCAGGGGTGAGACTATATAAGCTATGTCAACCAAGCCGTTTATTGAACTGTGCTGTTGAGGCAGATTTGAAATGATTTCTGTTTCTGTACTGTAGGTAAAAGCTGTGCACTGCAAAGCTGGTGATACCGTCGGAGAAGGAGATCTGCTGGTGGAACTGGAATGAAAGCTTGCCTCCATGCTGTTGAATTAGCTAACTTTTATTATTTCCACCCATAAAGTAAAGTTAAGGCAATTCAACACAGAAGACGGGACAGTCCTACGTGCAAGATTTTATACAGTTGTATTTATTGTATCAGTGGTTAAGACAGCAAACACAGATGTTAAACCTTGGCAACAGATCCCAGATTTTTACTTCCAGAAATACTTGTACATAACCTTTGTAATTCTTTGATTTTTCAGGATCAAATAAAATCAATAAAATACCATTTCTTCTTTAAAACAGGAAAAGCCTCTTTTTTTAAAAAAGAAAACAGAAGCCCAAATCTGAGTCGTCTTCTCCCTGGTAGTATCACTGGTTTGAGGCCCCAGCCAAATTGACCAGAATGGTTGGTAAAAGTGAAAAATCAACCACTGAGTGGTTAACCGAGCAGTTTTCCTACGCTCTGTGTAAGCGCTGAACAAGTCCTGCCGATGGCTTAAATTCTGGTCCGA